GGGAGCCGCCCAGGCCCAGCGGGATGAGGCAATCCCCAAGGCTGCTGGCGGCTTCTTTCAACAGACCTGGATTTCGTTTCCCCAAGTGGCTCTTCAGCAGCAATTTGACTTTGAAGATCTCCAGTCAGGTTTAAAATTCTTCTCTAAAAAGTGTACTGAAGTGCACCACTCGGTTATTTTTAGTCATCAAATATGCATGTTCTTCATTAAACCTGTAGTAGACAGAAGAAATGCAATTTTACCAAAAATTCCAATAATTCATATGTTAGGAATTCAGATTTTTAGACTACAACCTAAAGATTTTGTGATTCACCTAAAAATATTTTAAGGCTTTAATTACTGAAGGGGTGTTTCAAGAATATCCCAAACAATTTCAAATTCTGGCTTCTCAAAATGCATATTGTGATATGATGAAAAGTCATCTTAAATGAAAACCTAAAACGGTTAGCTCCTCATAGACCTATACTTATTTTCCCCTGCAAAATCTCTCCATGATAAAATCAACAGAATTATCTTCAAAAATAGTTCTACCTCAGTCTACAACAAGAAATGTGTTTGCTACCAGCTCTACTCATATTTAGTATATCCCCCTTAGCCTGATGCATTATTCTGCATTTTCTCAATTTTGCATGCAGGTTCACTTTTAAATCATTTGATTTTGCCCTACAAAAGCAAAGAGCAGACATAGCAAAAATTAGTTTTGCCTAAGTTACTCTGTTTAAAGTTGTAAACATCTGCATCCATCTTTCAACCTTATTGTTTTTGGTTCTGCCTTTATCACCCATGCAGTGCCTAGCATCTCTTCAGCCTTGTTCAATACTCCTTCAGGCTATGCTTCCTTACCCAGAGCTAGGGCAGTGGGGCGTGGCTGCGAACGGACCCGATATTTAACGTTACTTCCATATGCAAGATTGTGGGTAGCGCTAGTGAACTCATCTCCATAGCAGGAAAAAGGTAAACATCAGTAGTATTAACGTATATTGTAACATAAGCTATGGTCTTAGAACGCAGCAAATCAGCTACAGTTTAAAAATGCCTTAGATATATGAGTAAGCAAGTTTTATTCTACTGGGTAATCAATCATTCAGCAGTTTGCCTTTTTGGCACAGGTAAACACTGCACCTTCCCAGGAGAAATAGGACAGTGCGAGTTCTCTCTTTGTGAATTTACATACTTCTCAGAGCAAAGTTAATTATTTTAGTTGGTATGATATCAAACATGCTTTGCCCTGTTTCATATGACTGCAGAACCTTTTCATAACTCTCCCACCTTAGTTTGTTAGGACTCATTTGTAACACAATTGCCTCAAACACTATTCTTGTATTGAAAAGGATACAGGGATATTCTTTTTAGTTTCAAAAAGGAATTTTCTTGATGCTACTTAATTCCTAGTTACCCATTTTTGTCATCTATTTAATTAAAAAAAAAGCTCCTAACTTTATGCTAGTTCTGCTCAAATGCTTGTTATTTGATTCAGTTGATTTTGCTAAGGTCACTCTACTCACATTGACCTTTAAAAAAATTAATGATTGGCTTGTGTCTAAATCCAAAGGTCTTGCTTCTTTTTCTGTCCTCGACTTATCAGCTAGTTTTGGACCTTTGGATCATTCTTTATCAACTCAGTTTACATAGTTTTTCTGACTCTGCACAATACTTCTTTTTCTACTTACTACATATGTTTGATGCTTTGTAGGGTCCCTAAAATCATCCTCGCCATCATTACAATCAGCTTTGTGCTCGTGCTCTACCATTTATTTATTTTCCTGCTGGACTGCATTTTTGTCAGTGAAAACATTCTTTCCCATATCTCAAAGGTCTGTTTCTTCCTTTCTTAGGTGTAGTTCCTCCTGGGCCTAAGCCAATCTTCATTTAAGTACAATCAAAGCAGAAATTCTTTCCTTTTCCTAACTGGCATGTTTATGGTCTGACCTTGAAACCTTTACTCACGGTAAATAGCATTTTCCTTCCAGCCTTCATGGAGCACCAGTCATTTGACCCCCAGATTGCCCTCACGTGGGCCTTGATACCTGCAATGCTATCAATGCACTAACCATCTAATATGCACTCTAGTGGTACCCCTATGCTTCTTTCATCACTTGGCCATCTTCTGGGTCACTTGAAAAAAATCTCATTTGTCTCCTTAAAGCAGTCACTTACTTGTATTTCTCTGCCTCCATCTTTTTATTCCTTAACATCCAATCCAGACTTCATACAGTTCGCATTTATGGTCTATGGAAGTGTCATTCCTCACAGTTCCCTCTTTGGCATCAAAATGAGAATCCTCTTGCTTCTTGTATGCTAGGTAGCTCTTTATATCTTCTTCCTCTTCTACAAGAGGGGCTTGATCTACCAATGTACGTTTTAACAGTGACATAAATCATGGAGCACAACACCAGTAATGATTATTCAAATGTAAATAAAGCTAAGCTCATTCATGCAAATACAAGAAAGTTACTTAAACATGTGGTTGACTACGCAAGTGCTGAGCTCTTTGGATCAAAAAATCTCATTCCAAAGATCACATCATTAAAGTTATTACACACAATTGCTAGAATTATTATAACACCTTGAAAGTTCAGCTCACTACCCAAAAGCTTGCCAATTATTTTCAAAATTATGTGCTGATCTAGTGAAGATATTTTCTTCCACTGAAAACCTCACCTCAGTATGGAATTTTAACCTGAAACAGGAGCAGGAGCTTCACATTACTATTGTTGAGATCAGGCCTATAAAGATTAACTAGCAAGTCTTTTGGGTTTTGTTTTGTTTTGTTTTTAATGGGGCTCTATGCATTTTTTGTAATATTCTATCCATCATTTTCGAATGACATAAGGTGCCTTGCAGGCTTATATAAAACCATCTCATCCTGATAACTAGGTAATCCGCTTAAAGCAATGTGGTTCCAGTTAATAAAGAACAATGTTCTGGCCCAACGGCATTAGAGAATAAGATATTAAGTAGTAAAATCCACCCGAGGATACTGAGGGAGCTGGCAGAGGAGCTTGTCAAGCCACTCTCCATCATTTATCAGCAGTCCTGGTCAAACAGGGAGGTCCCAGATGACTGGAAGCTAGCAAATGTGACGCCCCTCTACAAGAAGGGTCGGAAGGAGGATCCGGGGAACTACAGGCCTGTCAGCCTGACCTCAGTGCCGGGGAAGGTCATGGAGCAGATCATCTTGAGTGCCATTATGCAGCAAGTGTGGGACAACCAAGGGATCAGGCCCAGCCAGCATGGGTTTATGAAAGGGAGATCCTGTTTCACTAACCTGGTCTCCTTCTATGACAAGGTGACCCAC